CCGACTTCGTAGGGGACGGAGAGCCCGGCAGGATTGCGCCAGAGATGGGACGGAAGCGCTCTCTTTCCTGGACGGGGGAGTTTTCCAAGGGCCTCAAGCTGACCTCAGAGAGAGGTACTGGTCCAGCCACACGAGCCTGGATCCTGTCTCAGCTCAGTCCACTGAGTCGAGTGTGCATGGCTTGCTGTGGAATGGTGTCTGCTGGCAGGCCCCCACTCCTAGGAGGAGATGGATGCCGGAGCTCACGCCACTCTGGAATCAGTGCAGTCTATACATGCCCAGGGATACCCTTGCCAGACAAATTGTGTGGAAGTCCTGCTCCTTAACACACACAGCCTTGTCTCCGGAACATCGCAAGGATGGCGGCTGGCTGTTGTGATGCTGTATAATGGGACAAGAGCCAGAGGAGTTAGCCGTGTTGGTCTCTTGCTGCAAAACAGTAGAAAGTCTAGTAGCACCTTTAAGACCAACAAACTTTATTGTAGCATAAGCTCTCGAGAAACACAGCTCTCTGATGATGAAGAGAGCTGTGTTTCTCGAAAGCTTATGCCATAATAAAGTTTGTCGGTCCTAAAGGTGCTACTGGGCTTTCTACTGTATGGGACAAGGCACTCCGTGTGTACTCAGAGGCCCTCTCCCCTCTTTTGCCTGCTGACTAAAATAGAGGGAAATGTGTTGTCCCAGGCCCTGACCCATGAGCTTTCCTGCCAGATTCGCGAAGGCTGGCTTCAGAGATCCATGTGTGGGGGAGGGCAGGACTTCTGTATATGCCCAGAGGCCCTCTCCTCCCCCTCAAGCATGCAGGGCCAGAGGAACAAGCAGGACGGTTTGCTCTCTTCACTCAAGATGTAAAGGGGGAAGCAGTGGAGCCCTACTGCCGCACTCTGTACCTGCTCAAGGCAGCAGCGGATGTGAGGCCGATTCCCTGGGTGAAGAGAAGAGCCCTCCAGTGTTGCCTCTCTTGGAGAATGCCTCTGGGCATGTGCTGCTCTTCACCTCCACCTAAGCCACGGCCACCAGCAGGCATCCAGCCCTGTGGGGCGGAGCAGGGAGCCAGGCGTTTCGCTTAGAGGCTGTGGCTCCCAGGTGGGGATCAGCCCCAGTAGCTCTCGTGCGCCAAGTGAAACTCCGGAGCACCAGCTTGGACTCTTGTCTTCGTGCACTTTTGGCCATGTTCACAAGGTATTTGGCAGCGTGAGGCCTCTGCTGTGATGCTTGCTCGTCAGTGGATTGTGCTTCGAGCAACTTCCACGTTGTGTGTTGCTGCCCTTGCTCACCCCCCACCCCCCCACCCCGGCTTGTTGCTATCCCTCCTTCTGCTGCAGCTGTCAAACCTTAGATTGTAAGCTCAGTGGGGCAGGGGTCTGTTTCTTGTTCTTTGTAGAGTCTCTGTGTGTGTTGTGTTGCTTTGTGAAGCGTCATACGGCTTGCCTGTGGTTTGCCAAGTGAACTGGCAATAAGAGAATCTCCCCCCCCCCTTCACGCTGCCTTGTCTGTATTCCTTTTGCCTGTCGTCTTGCAAAACATTTTCATTTATCCTCAGGAAGGAAAATCTTGGACTCAGGCTGCGGTGACACACACTAAGTAATCCACTTTCAGTCCACTTTCAGTGCACTGTCCAACTGGATTTTACCGTGAGAACTGGCCTCAGTCAGCTGCAGGCAGCCTTTGCAGACTGACCGCTCCTCCCCACGTGAGCGAGGGTCACCACACTTCTTGTGGCCCACGAGTCAAGCAGCGTGTCAGTCGGCACTCCAGACTTCCCAGGTTTTCTGCAGTAGTTGCTGTTCCCCAGAAGCGCGGAATGTCACAGGCTTCTTGCTGCTGAGCCCGCTTGGGTCTTTGCTTGCGCGGGGTCTGGGCTTCGTCATGTCCCTCCTCCTCCCTCTCTCTCTCTCTCTGTGTGTCTTTCTCTGAGGCTGCTTCCGTTCTGGGCCCTCCGCCCTGGGCGGCTGGCGTCCTGAGTGAGCCAGGCAGCTGTTCCAAAATTAGGGAAGGAAAAAGGTCAGCCTTGCCATCGCCGGACTATTCCTGTCCCCCCTCCGATTTCCGCCCCCTCCGCTCGGCTGCTGACGCGCTCCCCTTTTCCTCCTCCGCCACCAGCGCAGCCCGGATCCCTCGGCCCTTGCCCTGCCTCAGCAGCTCCTGCTGCGCTGGATGCAGGAGGCCTGAAGCTCAGATGGGAACTCAGCTGGCGTGAAGAGGGGGAAGTGGAGGGACAGGCAGCGCTCACTGGCGGGGGCTGGGGGGTGGTCGGGTGGCCTGGGCACAATGTGGAGGAAGCGGCACCGCATTGGCAGCAGGGACTATGTCGTGGTGCACAGCTCTACATCTTCCTCTTCGTCTGCCTCAGGTAAGGCTCTGTCTGCCCTCCCGCTTGGCTGGTGCCTCCTCAAGGGCTTGCGAGCGGCTGTCCCTTTCTCCCTCCAGCCAAGAGCGAAGCTGGGGTCGAGCTTCCTTCTTTCCGTTGCTTCCTTTTGCTACGCTCAAGAACCCTGTGGCCTTCCGGGCATCTCGGCCAGAGGGTGGCCTTTTGTGCTTAAGCTCTCCTGGAGGAATGTGGCTCGAGCCTCTTGCGCTGCAGGTCCTGATCCACAGAGTGCTGCTCCTGCGCTTGCGCTGACTCATGGTTTCAGTGGCGTCGGCTGATCTCCATTGGTAGGCCTGTGCAGGAACGGACGGTTCAGCCTCTGGGGAGCAGCCACTGATTGGCTAGGGATGTGTAAGGCTGTGATTCGTATTATCCCTCTCTCTTGCTTACACGAAATGTTAACAGAGGTCCTTCCACTATGAGCTGCTGCACCCCTAGGCGCCTTCTTTGAGTCTGGAACCAAAGGCCTGCTGAAAACCCTGCCTTCTGTTGAGTCGGACCATCATTCCAGACCAGGCCGAGTGTTTCACACTCTGCCTGGCAGCAGCTCTCCGAGTCCCCCGTGGGCAAAGGCCTTTCCTAGCCCGGCTGTTCTCCATGCAGCAGCACTCCCCTAAGAGCCTGCTCCGATTGGCGGTGGCTCCCCAGCTGAGGCCTGGCCATCTCCAGAGAGGCCCGCGCTCTGACACCCAGCAGTGACCCCGGCCGTGGTCTTTAAAGGAGGTTTACAGTGCAGTCCTAAACAGCGACACGCTCCTCTCAGCCCATTGACTTTAATGGACTCAGAAGGGTGTAACGCTCTTTATGCTTGCATGGTAAGTGCAGGGTCTGTGCACGCGTGGTCTGATACTGGCATGCTCTGTGAGTTTGTGTGTGTGTTGGGGAGGCTGCACATATTCAGAGGAGCTCTCTTGTAAAACAGTGCTGGGTTGCCGTGAAGTGCGCATGAGAAAGCATTTTGTGTGCTGCCATTCGTCGGAGAATTGCTCACGATCTGGCGCAGGAATGTTGTCTGTGGGGAGAAAACGATGTCTTCGTTGCGAGCGGTTGTGGTATTACTAGGACAATACGAGCGTCATCTGAAATAAAGGGATGAGGCAGCTGTCTGGCATGCCCCCCAAAGCATCTTGGGAACTGGGCTGAGCGGTGGCGATTTGTTTCAGGGCTTTTGCTTACTCATCTTTTGACCTCGAGCTGTTTTGTACACAGTAACGCTCTGAGGGGCAGAGTTGCTGCCCCCCAAACACGGTGGCTTCAAGCTGAACTTTTGCAAAGCACAGTCCTACGCACAGGATCATAGTGCAAGTCCTGCGTGTGGAATTCAGAGCTGCCTTTCCACTCCCTGGCCCTCCGCCCCCTCTCCTCCCTCCCTCCTGTCCAGTGTCGACCCCTTCTCACATGCAGCACATGACCCCTGGCCAAGCACCCCCTCCCGGGTACATGCTTCCCCGGTATTTTCCCTCTCATAAGAACATAAGAGAAGCCAATGTTGGATCAGGCCAATGGCCCCTCCAGCACTCTGTGTCACACAGTGGGCAGAAATACCAGGTGCCATCAGGAGGTCCAGCAGTGGGGCCAGGACAATAGAAGCCCTCCCACTGTTGACCCCCCCCCAAGCACCAAGAAGACAGAGCATCCCTTGCCCCAGACATAAGAACATAAGAGAAGCCAATGTTGGATCAGGCCAATGGCCAATCTAGTCCAACACTCTGTCACACAGTGGCCAAAAATGCCAGGTGCCCTCAGGAGGTCCAGCAGTGGGGCCAGGACACTAGAAGCCCTTCCACTGTCCCCCCCCCCCCACAAGCACCAAGAATACGGAGCATCCCTTGCCCCAGACTGAGAGTTCCTATCGATACCTTGTGGCTAATAGCCACTGAGGAACCTCTGCTCCATACGTTTATCCAGTTCCCTCTTGAAGCCGCCCATGCTTGTAGCTGCCACCACCTCCTGTGGCAATGAGTTCCATGTGTTAATTTTGCCCCTCTCAGCCTGCCCTCCCCTGCCTGGCTCCCTGTTTCTCACTCCCTGTGGATCCCTCAGCCTCGTCTTCCCCAGTTCCTCACCTCCTTGCGGCACATCGCCTTTCCAGTCCTTTGTACTTGTACGAACCCTTTCCCCTTCATCAAACCACCCTCCAGGGCCTGAATTGATTTTCCGCATACTCTTCGTATTCAGAGGTGAACCTGACATGATGTCACAGCATGTTGGCCGATGTCTGGAGAAACATGTGCAGCTGATAGGTAGTTTTTGGACAAAAGGTTCCTCCTTGAGCCTTTTGGGAAAAGGGAGGGTTTTTTTTTAATATATTCTCATAAGAACATCATCAGAGCCCTGCTGGATCAGACCAGTGGTCCGTCTGGTTCAGCATCCTCTCATGAGGACTTTAGGCTTAGACGCCAGTAGCTGGGTTTGAAGAAAGCACCTGTGTTGGTGGGCCGGCATCTCTGGATGTGGGGGTGTGATGTGATGCACAAGCCGACTGTACCTGAGAAATTCTCCCTGTTATGGGGCCATTTAATATACTAACTTTTGCTTGTTGTATCTGGTTGGTAATAACAAAACGTTTTCAGCATTTTGCATTTCCCCCCCACTGGGTGAATTTTGTGTGTGTGTGTGCATTCCCCAGGCGACTCGGAAGAGGAGGACATGGGATTTCTGGAGGTCTCCGTCACGGATATGAAGCACCCGCTTCCCGAACTGGGCCCCATGCCGGAAGGGCTGAGCCCTCAGCAGGTCAGTGCTGGGACCGTGGCCTGGGCCACATTCAAGGCCAGGGGAGCCCAGGCCAGCGTTCCCTCTAAGCTGAGTGAGTGTGAGCCAGTTCACAGTTTTTTAGCCTCTGGCTCACACATTTCTGTCTCAGCTCAGGAAGGGATGGGGCTCCAGAGCAAACCGATTTATGCAGTGGGCAAATCGCTCACTCACCACTTTAAGGCCAGGAGCTCACAAAGTGGAATTTTTGCTCACAAGACTCCACGGCTCAGAGGGAGCATGGTAGCCCCCTACCCCACAGAGGTAGGGGCTTGTTCAAAAATGGCCTCTCTTCTTGAGTACTTAGGTTCTTGTTCTGTTGAAGAGCTATTCAGCTGTAGCAAGTAGCAAGGCTGGAACTGCTGAGAGTACGGGGTGTGTGTGTGTGTGTGTGGGGGTTGCTCAACAGGGGTGTGTGTTCCCATAGAGTCCACCCTTCAGAGGGGCTGTTTTTTCGGGGGAACCGGGCTCTGTCGTCTAGGGGTCTGTTATAATTCTGGGAGAACTCCAGGTGCCCCCCCCCAATACTGGCAACTCTACTGGGTGGTGACCTGAGATGATACACAGTCTGTTTTATCTGGAGATGCCAGGGGTGAACCTGGGCTCTTCTGCACGTGCTCTGCCATCCAAGGAGAGGGAAACCCAGGCTGAAATGCCACCCTGCTGCGGTGATCTCAAGCCAATTGTTTTCTCTCACTGGAACACGCCTCCCAGGGTGAAAACGGAAAGTGGGGGAAAGGACCATGGATGCTGGCTGGAGCAGCCACGGCTGTAAGCAGAGTGGAGGTGGGCTCCAGTTGTGGGTCAGCCCTTGGGCACGTCACTGAGTGAATATGTGCAGCCATTTATCAGGTGGACCCCCCCCCCCCAAGCATTTGGCAGATTCTCAAGGGTTAAGAGTTGCAGGAAGGCAGAGGCAAAGAGTTATGTGTATTTCGGAAGTTCACTTGTGGTCTTGAAAACTTTAACAGAATTAAATATGTGTGGCCTTCTCTAGTTTGGACAGTTCTGGAGCAGGGCTCCCTCTAAGCTATGGAATCCTGTCAGCAAAAATTCTACTTTGTGAGCTCCTGGCGTTCAAGTTGTGAGCGAGCCATTTGGCCACTGCATAAATTAGTTTGCTCTGGAGCCCCATCCTTCCTGAGCGGAGACGAAAATATGTGAGCCAGAGGCTAAAGAACTGTGAGCTAGCTCACACTAACTCAGCTTAGAGGGAACGCTGTTCTGGGCTCTCCACTTTAATGGGGCTCCCTTTTTCTCCCTGTGGAGTGAGCATGAAATAGAGATGGCAGTGTGTTCTAAAATCGTACTGCGGCAGCCACAAGAAGAAGAAGAAGAAGAAGAAGAAGAAGAAGAAGAAGAAGAAGAAGAGATTGGATTTATACCCCGCCCTTCACTACCAGGAGGAGTCTCAGAGCGGCTTACAAACTCCTTTCCCTTCCCCTCCCCACAACAAACACCTGGTGAGGCAGGTGGGGCTGAGGGAGCTCTCGACAGAAACTGCTCTTTTTTCAAGAACAGCTCTTGTCAGAACTACGGCTTGCCCAAGGTCATCCACCAGGTGCAGGTGGGGCCGGCAGAGAGCTCATTCCCCTGCAGGGGGGCTGCGCCTGCAGGGTCTGGTGTGGCTAGCAAGGGAGGCTGCAGAGGAGGACGCGCAAAGGGAGAGTTCTGTGTGAGCCTTAAGTGGGTGAAGCCCTCGATTCTCCTCCTCCTACCCCGATCTGTAGTCATTCATGCATTGGGAGTGAGTCATGACTTTTTCAGGGCTTGCTTCCATAAGAAGAGGCTTTTGGCCGGAGCTCGGCAATGGAATATTGTGTTATCTGTTGCCAAGACTCTGTGCTAGAATGTTTGTGCTAACACAAAAGAGGAGAGCACCTCTGGAAAAATGCCGGCATCTTTCCCCTTGGCCCTCTCCCCCCAGATATCTGGGGACTGGGGAACAGGGCTCCCATGACAGAGTTGCACAAGTGGGCTCCGATTCTGCGCAGCAGCTGCCCTGCCCGAGTTTTATCATAGGGAACAGGCCCAAGCTAGCAGCCGTTCACCTCATCCTGCGGCAACGAGTTCCAAAGTTTATTCTGTGGCAGAAAAGTCTTAAATCTACTGTGCACTTAGTGGGACCCTGTACAGTGCTTACTGTACAATGCTTATTGAGAGCCAGTTTGGTGTAGTGGTTAAGTGCGCAGGCTCTTATTTGGGAGCACTCCTCCACTTACACCTGGCTGGATGACCTTGGGCAAGCCGTAGTTCTGATAAAAGCTGTCCTTGAAAAAGAGCAGTTTCTGTAAAGAGCTCTCTTATCCCCACCTACCTCACAGGGTGTCTGTTGTGGGGAGGGGAAGGGAAAGGAGTCTGTAAGCTGCTCTGAGACACCTTTGGGCAGTGAAGGGCAGGGTATAAAGCCAATCTCGTCTTCTCTTCTTCTTCTGTTATGGTTTGGACTCCTTCCTGTTCCCCTTTGCCTGCAGCTTCTTCTGCCTCTCTCTTATCTCCTGCTCCAACTCTCTTGTCCTTTTCCTCCCCACGCATGCCACAGGTGGTGCGGCGTCACATCTTGGGTTCCATTGTGCAGAGCGAGCGGAGTTACGTGGACTCCTTGAGGCGGATCTTGCAGGTGAGAGGGCTGCCTCGTTTCTCATGCGGCTGATGCGACCTTTGGGCCTCCTCCAGTCCCAGGGGTGCCTGCCCCCCCCATCCCCCCACCCCCCCGTCCACCGTGACACCTTTCAGGGTATTGTTGGTGTGGAACCCCCGGTGGAAATGTGCTTCGGCAAGAAATTGGTGACACCATTAAATATATATATATTAAACCCTTTCAGAAAGTGACTTTTTGGCCTATCTATCAAAATTTGTTTTAGAACAAGAGGACTATGTGGTGGAAAATATCCAAACTGTTTCAGTAGCCTTCACTGTAATAAGCTGACCAAGGCTTTGGATATTATGTACATAAATAGGTGAACATTATAATATATGTATGCCCCAAGGAAGACCGGTAAGAGAGACATTTGGAGTTCATTTTATGTCTTGGGGAATAGTTGGAGACCTGATATTCATTCATTCATTCATTCATTCATTCATTCATTCATTCATTCATTTCATTTATTGCTCTTATGACTACCATCTTGAGCAGTTCAACAACAAAGCAGCAATAAGAGGAAAAATAATGATAGCAATAATAAATGATAGTAACAGTAATAGTAGTGACAGTAGTAGTAACAGCAAATACAAGAAATACATCATAAATGCCAATAAATACAGCAGATGCACCTGAACGGCTAAAACGTCAAGTTATCCATATCTAATTATCTGTTAGATTTGATTGCATAAGAGAAAAACTTAGCAACAGCCAGGGTAGTATCTTGCTCGCTTCCAGCCAAAAGAGTCTGTAGCTTACAAAGGAGACCTGATATTAAATATACAATAGGATTTATTTTTGCAACTTTTGTGCTTCTCTTAGTGGAACCAAATGAAATCATTCCTCTCAAAAGATACGCAAAATGTTACAAGGCCAGAACAATTAGTCCAGCAGGAAATGACAAAAATATTAACAAAATAACAAGTGAAATAATAAAATGTTTTAAATAAATAAAACCCATGAAAAAAGGGGAAGAAAAACTAAACCGACCTAGCACGAGCCAAAACCTCCACAGGAACTTTAGAAAACTAGTAAGGTGCCAAAAATTAAAAACAACAATAATTAAAGACAAAATTAAAGGTAAAGGTTCCCTTGCTCGAAAGCCAGTTGAATCCGACTCTAGGGTTGCGGTGCTCATCTCCGTTTCAAAGCCGAAGAGCCAGCGCTGTCCGAAGACGTTTCCGTGGTCATGTGGCCGGCATGACTAAACACCAAGGCGCACGGAACGCTGTTACCTTCCCACTGAAGCGGTACCTATTTATCTACTTGCAATTTCTTGCTTTCGAACTGCTAGGTTGGCAGGAGCTCCATCATGCGGCAAGTTGGGTCTCGAACTGCTGAACTACTGACCTTCCACAGCCTGCAGTTCAGCGTCTTAACCACTTTAGCCACCACAGCTCCATAGACAAAATTACACGTGGTTATTTCAAAAACAGTTAAAAACCTTGTAGGGGCCCAAGTAAAACCTCATGATATAGTCAAAGAGACAAATGCCCTAATAAAAAAAATAAAAACCAAACATAGGACATGATTTTTCTCTCCCCATCTTAATTTGCATTAATGCAGTTAAATTTAATTAAATACATTGTAAAAATCCTTGTACCTCTTCTAACATCTGTTTGTATTCTGAAAGCAAAGCACCCAAATGTCTGCAGATTGCTATCTCATTAGAAATTTATTTATTTATCAAACTTATACCCCGCCCTCCCTGCGAGCGGGCTCAGGAAATTGCTTCGTTTTGCTTATTATCCTTTTTTTCCTGGTACCTTTTATGCATAATAGCAAAAAAACCAACCCCATTTAGGGGGCAGCAACAAAAGAGGGACCAGGGTGTGTTCTAAGAACATCAGAAGAGCCCTGCCGGACCAGAGCAGTGAGGGTCCACCTAGTCCAGCATCCTGCCTCACACAGTGGCCAGCCAGTTCCTATGGAGGGCCAGCAACAGGGCATGGAGGCCGAGGCCTTCCCCTTAGAAGAACCTCAGAAGAGCCCTGCTTGGAGGCCGAGGCCTGATAGGAACCTCAGAAGAGCCCTTGCTGGATCAGACCAGGGAGGGTCCCTCTAGTCCAGCATTCTTGTTTCACAGAGTGGCCAGCCAGTTCCTCTGGAGGGCCAGCAACAGGGCATGGAAGCCGAGGCCTTCCCCAAATAAGAACCTCAGAAGAGCCCTGCTGGATCAGACCAGTGAGGGTCCACCTAGTCCAGCATCCCGTCTCACACAGGGGCCAACCAGTTCCTCTGGAGGGCCAACAACAGGGCAGAGAGACTGAGGCCTTCCCCTGATGAGAACATCAGAAGAGCCCTGTTGGATCGGACCAGTGGTCCATCTGGTCCAGCATCTTGTCTCACGCAGTGGCCAGCCAGTTCCTCTGGAGGGCCAGCAACAGGGCAGAGAGGCCGAGGCCTTCCCCTGATAAGAACATCCCGTCTCTCACACAGTGGCCAACCAGTTCCTCTGGAGGGCCAACAGCAGGGCACAGAGGCCGAGGCCTTCTCCCAGGCCCGTAGCCAGGATTTTTAAAATTGGGGCATTTGAATTTCTTAGGGGGCACTGGCTAATCAAATTATTAATCTGGGGGAGAAGGCTGTGACACCCTGGGTTGGATGGGGAGTCAGGGGGCCTTGCCAGCAAGTCAGGGGGCCTAGCCCCGAGAAGCCCCACTGTAGCTATGGGCCTGCCTTCCCCCGAGAAGAACCTAAGAAGAGCCCTGCTGGATCAGACCAGTGGTCCATCTGGTCCAGCATCCTGTCTCACACAGTGGCCAACCAGTTCCTCTGGAGGGCCAGCAACAGGGCATGGAGGCTGAGGCCTTCATAGGAACCTCAGAAGAGCCCTGCTGGATCAGACCAGTGAGGGTCCCTCTAGTCCAGCCTCCTGTCTCACACAGCGGCCAGCCAGTTCCTCTGGACGGCCAACAACAGGGCAGAGAGGTCAAGGCATTTCCCTGATAAGAACATCAGAAGAGCCCTGCTGGATCAGACCAGGGAGGGTTTATCTAGTCCAGCATCCCGTCTCTCACACACTGGCCAACTAGTTCCTCTAGAGGGCCAACAACAGGGCAGAGAGGTCTTCATAAGAACATAAGGGAAGTCCTGCTGATCAGACCAGTGGTCCATCTAGTCTCATCCAGTGGCTGACCAGTTCTTCTGGAGGTCCAGCAACAGGGCGTAGAGGCTGAGGCTTTCATACGAACAGAAGAAAAGCCCTGTTGGATCAGACCTGTGGTCCACCTAGTCCAGCATCCCGTCTCACACAGTGGTCAACCAGTTCCTCTGGAGGGCCAACAACAGGGCAGAGAGGCCAAGGTCTTCCTCTCATGTTGCCTCCTGGCTCTGGGATTCAGAGGATTAGTGCCTCTGAATGTGGAGGTTTCCCTCAGTCACCATGGCTAGTATCCACTGATAGATTTATCCTGTTTGAACCTATCTAATCTCCTTTTAAAGCTGTTTATTCCAGTGGTCATCCCTATATCCCCTGGCAGTGAATTCCACATTTTAATCATTCTCTGTGTAAAGTAGTATTTCCTTTTGTCCGTCCTGAACCTCCTGCCCATCAGCTTCATTGGATGCCCTGGAGTTCTAGTCTTTTGGGAGAGGGAGAAGGATTTCTCTTTATCGCCCCCCTCTCATAAGAACATAAGAGATGCCAATGTTGGATCAGGCCAAAGGCCCATCCAGTCTAACACTCTGTATCACACAGTGGCCAGAAATACCAGGTGCCATCAGGAGGTCCACCAGTGGGGCCACGACATTAGAAGCCCTCCCAATGTTGACCCCCCCAAGCACCAAGAAGACAGAGCATCACTTGCCCCAGAGCCCCTATCTATACCTTGTGGCTAATAGCCACTGATGGACCTCTGCTCCATATGCCTATCTAATTCCCTTTTGAAGCCGTCCATGCTTGTAGCCGCCACCACTTGCTGTGGCAGTGAATTCCAAGTGTTAATCACTCTTTGGGTGAAGAAGTACTTCCTTTTATCCGTTCTAACCCGACTGCTCAGCAATTTCATGTAGTGCCCACAAGGAGTTCTTGTATTGTGAGAAAGGGAGAAAAGTACTTCTTTCTCTACTTGCTCTTTCCCATGCATAATCTTATAAACCTCGATCATGTCACCCCTCAGTCGTCGTTTCTCCAAGCTAAAGAGCCCTAAGCGCCTTAACCTTTCCTCATAGGGAAAGTGTTCCAACCCTTTTATCATTCTAGTTGCCCTTTTCTGCACTTTTCCCAAAGCTATAATATCCTTTTTAAGGTGTGGTGACCAGAACTGCACACAGTATTCCAAATGAGGTCGCACCATCGATTTATATAGGGGCATTATGGTATTGGCTGATCTGTTTTCAATACCCTTCCTTCCTAATAATCCCCAGCATAGCATTGGCTCTCCACCCATTCATGATTTCTAACCAGTGCTGTGTGCTTCTTCCTGCTCTGGCCTGAACAGGATTACAGAAACCCTCTGATGGAGATGGAGCCCAAAGTCCTCAGTGCCCGCAAGTGCCAGGTGGTTTTCTTCCGGGTCAAAGAGATCCTCCAGTGCCACTCCATGTTCCAAATCGCCTTGTCTTCACGTGTTGCCGAGTGGGACACCACGGAGAAAATCGGTGACCTCTTTGTGGCCTCGGTGAGTTCTCGCAGGACAGCTGTCGGAACAAGATAGCCTTTCTGCCCAGGCTTCTCATCCTTCAGGTCTGTGTTTTGTGGGCCAGGAGCTTCCTCCCCATCCCTGGAGACACGGCTCCCTTTCCCAGAACAGAAACACAGGTGGGAGGGGCAGGGGGAAGAAGTGAAGCAGTCCAGTCTCTGGAGCCCAGGAGAACTAGAATGCAGGCATCAAGATTTCTTTGGAATTCAGTCAGTGTACTTCAGTCGAAGTCGCGAAGGAGTCGATATCCTTGGGCCCAAAGTGGCAGAAAGGGCCTGCCTTGGCAGTGTAGAAGTACTTCCTAGTTGCTCCCGGGTTATTTACAATGCAAGCCGTGTGTGGGGCCTAATTCTCTCCCCCTTTGTCCTCCCTTCCTCGGTGTCTGTCTTCATCTGTCCAGTTTTCCAAATCGATGGTGCTGGATGTGTACAGCGAATATGTCAACAACTTCACCACCGCCATGTCCCTGATCAAGAAGGCCTGCCTCACCAA